AAGAAAGGAAGAAAGGAAGAAAGGAAGAAAGGGAGAAAGGAAGAAAGGAAGAAAGGAAGAAAGGAAGAAAGGGAGAAAGGAAGAAAGGAAGAAAGGAAGAAAGGAAGAAAGGGAGAAAGGAAGAAAGGAAGAAAGGAAGAAAGGAAGAAAGGGAGAAAGGAAGAAAGGAAGAAAGGAAGAAAGGGAGAAAGGAAGAAAGGAAGAAAGGAAGGAAGAAAGGGAGAGGAAGGAAGGAAGGAAGGAAGGAAGGAAGGAAGGAAGGAAGGAAGGAAGGAAGGAAGGAAGGAAGGAAGGAAGGAAGGAAGGAAGGAAGGAAGGAAGGAAGTTTAAAGAAGTGGTTAAATACATACATAAATATTCTCATCTATCTTGTTTATCCCTCCTCCACACCACTAAATGAGCAGAGATGATTTTGAGATGCTTTTTTTATTATTTTTTAAGCAAATATATGTTTTCCAAATGGTTTAGGAAATTGCTAATTTTCTCATCAAATAATTTCTTCAAAGTATAACCAACTGAGTAGGGATTCTTCTTACAAGGCAAAATGCAGTTGATGGGAAAGCAGATTTCCAGGTGGGAAAATGAAATGAACATATTAGCAGCTAATTAACCTTTATATCACACTATCCTATTCGCTTAATGAAAGCTTTAGCATATTTTTATTTTAGCTTGATTTATTCAGCTTTTTTTCTTTTGGTAGTTGGCAACACCTCCCCCCTTCCTTCTCCCCTCCAAAAAAATGAAACTGTCTAAATTGAATGCAGATTTTATCTAGATTCTGGCATTATTACATTACAAGAACCATTACATTACACAAAAAAAAAAATGGACAATTGAACATGAAATTTAAATCACATTTTCAAGACACCAAGATTGGCCTTCTGAATTCATCTTAGATAGCAGTTAAAATGTAATAAACTGGGATGCACTTATTTACAACTCTCATACTATCATAATTGCCTATGGAAAATGTGCCAGTTCTCCCACTCTAACAGATCTTCAGCAATCTTGGAATTTTACACTAGAATACTCTTTTTTTTTTTTTTTTCTGTAGGCTGCACACGGTATTTTAAAGGCATTACTTAAGCTGCTGCATTTGAAGTATGCACAGTTAATCAGGCCACAACAACAACCGCTATTAGGAAAAAATATAAGTATTAGACATATGCAATAAGTGGAAGAAATTTTGAAGCAGCAGTGTTCATAATTATTAGGTGGATTAGGTGGATTAGATCTCAGAAAACCTAGCAATTAGTTAACTATGGTAAGAACATGAAGACTATGATAAAATTCTTATGAAACCAGGAATTAAAAGAAGAATACAAAATTTACTGTGAATACGTCTATTTCAGTGAACAATGAGGGCTCACTTTGGTTCCATCAATGGCATCAATCTGCATTTATTGTTCAATCCATTAAGTTTTTTCTATTTAATTTTTTGCCTGTAATACCATATGTAATCTGTATATTCTGAAAAAACAAGTTTAAAAATGCAAAAATAGTTTTCCTTATACAATCAGACAGAACCAAATCAATTATTATTAAAATATTATTTCTTTCATTCCTCTGTCAAATCATTACAATTTTACTATTAAAAAGAGATTTAGTTCTGATAAACACTTTTTTTCCCTGAGAAATATCAATTTCCAAAACATATGCCATCTTAGTTTTTGAAAAACACTATGAAATGAAAGATGAAAACATTATATGAGGCAAGCCCGTTTTACATTTACATACATACATAAACTTTAGAACATGTCCAACAATTGAAACAGTTCCCCAGAAACGGAAATTTACTTATCACTTTGAAAAGAAAAAAGGGAAAAAAGAAAGAAAAAAAAAGGAGAGAGATGGCTAGGAATCTATTACACAGTCTCAGTAATTAAATCTAAGCTGAAATCTTCCAGCCAGATTCATGTCTTTTAAAAAACTCACTGTACCAGAAAAACTGCTAGCGTTTTGTATAATTTGCTTTAAACTGCAGCAACAGCAGCTGAGGGATTTATGCATCTCTTTCCTCTTTTTTTTGGCACATGTAAAAGCTAATATACAGAGGGACTATAACTTTCCGTATTTCCATAGGAAAATTAGACTCTCAGGATTTTT